TGATGATGATGATGATGGTGGTGGAGGTGTTGGTGAAGATGATGACGACGACGGTGACGATGACGATGGCGATGACGACTAAAATGACGAGGACTGCTGACCATGATGATGATGATGATGATGATGCTGATGCCGGCGATAATGATGCTGATGCTGATGCTGATGCTGATGCTGATGCTGATGCTGATGCTGATGCTGATGCTGATGCTGATGCTGATGCTGATGCTGATGCTGATGCTGCTGCTGATGCTGGTAGTGGTGTTGGTGCTGCTGCTGCTGCTGCTGCTGCTGCTGCTGCTGCTGATAATGATGATGATGATCATCATCATCATCATCATCATCATCACCATGATCATGGTCATGATCATTGTCACGATCATGGTCATAGCCATTGTGATGCTGACGATCATCATCATCATCATCATGATCATCATCATGGTGATGGTGGTGGTCATGACCATGGTGAAGATGATGAACATGATGATGGTCGTGGTGATGATGATCATTGTTTGTGATGATGACGGTGGTGATGAAGATGGTGGTAGTGATGATGTTGATGTTGATGATGAGGATGATGATGATGATGTTGATGATGGCGATGATGACGATGATGATGATGATGATGCTGATGATGGCTATGATGATGATGATGATGATGATGATGATGAAGATGAAGATGGTGATGACGATGATGATGATGATGATGATGATGATGATGACGATGACGACGACGATGATGATGATGTTGATGATGATGATGATGATGATGATGATGATGATGGTGGTGGTGATGAGGGTGATGGTGACGATGCTGAACATGACTATGATGGAGACGAGTCAGACATTGCGATGTTGTTGAAGATGATGCTGGTGTTGATGGTGCTGTTGCTGGCGCTGGCGCTGGCGCTGGCGGTGTTGCTGGCGCTGGGGCTGGCGGTGTTGGTGCTGGTGAGGGTGACGATGCTGAAGATGGCTACTATGTGGACGACGATCATTATGACTCATGACGAAGATGATGGAAGGAGTGGTCACGACCCAGCATCACCCAAAGCAAGATCGCAACAAAACCAGCAGGAAATTGAAACACCAATTTCAAACTCAACTACCATGGTCTACCAGCGATGATATCTTTGTACGTAAGTTTATGCATGTACAAACACATATGGACTGAAGAGTCAACGAAGTTGCGAATGAGCACCAACTGTACCCACAAGCTCGGCCACAAAACTGCGCAAACGCCCTGCAACAACACCAAACAAGCCTGAACTCTAAACCCCAAACCCTGAAGCTTAGACCCCGACACTGCCCTGAATTTCAGAAACCTTCGACCCTGGCGGCCCTAACCTAAACCCTCCCAAACCCTGAGGCACCGGCCTGCGAGGCCCAGGCCCAAACCGGACATACCAGGAGTCGGGTAGCCTCACGTTGAGCAGTTTGTGCTGGAGGGCTCCAGAGCTTCAGGCTAAAAAGTTCAGGGGTTTAGGGTTTAGGGTTTAGGGTTCAGGGTTTAGGGTTTAGGGTTTAGGGAGCCTCAACCCTGAAGAGTAATGTAGCGGGAATCCCAGCACTAATGGTCCTTAATCCGGATTCCAACTTCTTTTGGTATACTGCACTACAGGAGGATAATGATAACAATGTCACGGCTACTGTTCTTTGGAAGCATCGTTCTTGCTGTTGTGGTACTGGTAATCCTTGTAGTAGTGGTCCTCGTCGCAGTAGTGGTCGTCGTCGTCGTGGCAGTAGCAGCAGTAGTATTAGTCGTCGTCGTTGTCGTCGTCGCCGTACGTCGTCGGAGTCGTAATCGTTGTCGTAGTCGTAGCCGTAGTAGGAGTAGCATCAGTAGCAGCAGCAGTCGTAGCAGTACAGTACATCCCATACCACTACCACCACCACCACGACTACTACAACGACTACCCCTGCTGCTGCTGCTTCTTCTTTCTCTACTTCTACTTCTACTGTCGCTTTTACGTTTGCTTCTACTTCTTCTTCTTCTGCTACTACGATAACAACGAAGACGACGACTGCTGCTACTAGTGCAGCTTGTACAACCAATAATCATGAGAAGGCCAGTCACCATCATGACCATCATCGTCGTAGTAATCGTTCCTAATCCCCAAACCGAAATACTCCCAACGGATCCCTAAACCCTAAACCCTTAACCCTAAACCCTAGTCCCCAAACCGAAATACTCCCAACGGATCCCTTTTCATGTGAGACTTTCCTGGCCTCCGGCGACCGGGTTGGCAGCAGGACCTTTCCCCCCGCCGGGCTGGGAGGCTCGAGGAGCGCCGGGAATTGTCGTTACTGGCGCCTTTTGCGATTGCCGCTGTTACTTGTACCATGACAGATGATTAGAACAACTTTGAAAACCGTAACAATGGTTATGGCGACTCCGGCCACGATCGGAACGAGAAAGGTACGTAGAATCAGCACACCACAAGTACAATCACGATAAGAGAATGCAGGAGCGAGCGAGTGACTAAGGGAGTGAGCGAGTGGGGGAATTAGGGAGTTAGGGAGTTAGGGGGGTGACGGAGTGAGGGATGGGGGAGGGAGCAACTCGTGAGCAAGGAAGGCATGGAGTGTTGCTATGGCAACAGATAGACCCGCGGGAACGATTTAACTCGTTTCACATGAAACTCTTCATCACACAATCCAATGGTGGACAGCAGCACCACCACCAGCAACATTATACTACATTCTAAATACATATCTATATATATATATAAACCAAAGCCATATCATCTGGGCTTTCAGGGCTTTGTGACCATCGAGATGCTTGGCTGCGGAGACACCTCAAATTTTAATATTGTCTATATACATATATATTTGATATTCTATATACAACGATATATATGTATATAGTAAAGATAGAGAGAGAGAGATATATATATATATATAAAGATATAGAGAGAGAGACATGGATAGACAGACAGATAGATAGATATGTAGATAGATAGATATGTAGGTAGATGGATAGACTAATTGATAGAACCACATGTATATAATATACAATAAATATGGTTACTATAACCCTGCAGTCTAAGGTACAGAAGACACAGTTGCCTGCATCCCTTCCGCGGAACTCCAGAGTACTGTGGACTTGCCGCACCACCTGTGGAGGAAGGCGGCACTCTGGGTTTGAGGCGGGTAGCCCAGGTTCAACGGGCTGTGAGCGTCATTCTAAGGCTTCTTGCGTGGTGGTGTGGTGGTAACTCCACAGTAGCAGCACCGAATACAATAGCAGAAGAGTAGCAGTGGTGGCTGTGGTACTCGTAGTGCCGGTGACAGTTCCTCTTGTAGTTTCTGTGACAGTGGGAAATAGCACGAACAATCGTCGTGAGACGGAAAAATAGGAACTGCACTACAAAGACTGAAAGTACTCAAAGCAACTGAAAGCATCGCTACTGATAATCTTTGCTAACGATAATGGAAGAAAAACTGAAGGAGCCGAGGCTAGAAGACTCCTATTAGACAACGCACCTGCAACACCACCCACTAAACCTAACATCCTAAGAACCCAACTCCAAAACACTAAAGCTGGAAAACCCTGCAAAATCCAAACCCCAAACATCCCGAACCCTACCCCTAACACCCCCAACACACATCCTGAAGACATCCAGCGAAAAGAGCCGTGCCTCTAGCTTCTGGGCGGCAGTGCCCTTGATCTCCATCAGCCGATATCGGTACTCTTCCCCATCCTGGATTCATCTCTACAGGACTTAGGGCTGAAACGGCTTAGGGCTTGAGGGTTCAGGGTTTAGGGTTTGGAGTTTAGGGGTTCAGAGTTCAGGGCTTTAGGGTTTTAGGGTTTAGGGTTCAGGGGTTTAGGGTAAAGCTCGACCCTGAAGCATTCCATGACTGCCCGCAGCTGCCTGAAGCTGCTCAGCTTTGTGCTGCTGGACCTGTTCCGGCCGCTTCGGCTTTGGCTGTGGCTTCCGTCCGGCAGTGTGCAAAAAACTCACTACATTAGGGTTTAGGGTTTAGGGTTTAGGGTTTAGGGTTTCTAGTTGAATCGGGCTTCCTGGCTGATCATGAAATCGACTACATCTGACTCGACAACTCCTTGTTGTCTACTTCGGCTCATGTCGTAGGTTCGGAGGTAAGTAGTTGATTGAAATTCATCGACTGTTGCTGGAGAAAGTGATCACATTTCCGGGTGACTCGTTGAACGGCCCCCACATGGCTCGGTTGCCCAATTCACAGGCTGCACGCAACGCAATGTTTTGAGCATCGCAGAAAACTGCACCAAAAGAGTACCCAGGAAATGGCTGCACTTCTCCAACAGTTAGCGACACGATTCTGCGACTTCAATGGCCGACAAAGCATTCGACAAGACTGTCACAGACCGCGTAACCTCTTGTTGGAGAAGTCTATGCTACAGTCGCTAGAAGCATTGGGGAATGTCCGGTCGTCGTCTCGACGCAAGTGAGGGAGGAGTCCTCCCTCTGGGCCTCAGTTGAGGATGCACACATGGGTGGTTGTCAAAATTATGGTCCCTTTTTGGGTCCTTATTATAATACGGCACCTATTATTTAGGGTAACTTAAAAGGGACCATAATTTTGACAACTACCCACATATCTTTTTGAGGTCATCCCAGATTCAGCCCTACACGACTTGAAGACTCGAGACATCGATGCACTATCTTTTTCTGGCTAACATGGGGAGACCTCTGCACACCGCACCGCTAAGATGTGGGTGCTTCCAGCAACGGGATGGTGCTAACACCGCTCAAGTTCTGGTCATGGAACATGACGACGGTGCAGTGATGATGCTTCTGATGAAGAAGATGATGGTGGTGACGACTGTAAAGACAAGTACTCCATCTCCACCATCACTGCCACCACACATCCCATCACGCCCACCACTGGGAGACAACAGGAACGCCGAAACAACGACCGGACAAAGACGAAATGCGAGCACAGCAACAGCGAAAGCCACAGCTGAATAGTCGACTTGATATGAATCATCCTCAGACTGAGCGAAAACTTGCATCAGCAATGCTAGTACGGGGTCAGCGGCATTGACAAAAGCTTGAGCACAAAACTAGACCATCAGCGTCAACTGTGCAATGCCCGAAGGGGTCCAACTAAAATCTGTTGTGTCTTATATATGCTTCGGGCTTGATGCACGTGGAACAATGAGTAATCATGTGAGCTGCTGCAGGTCGTAGACAACACATGCCGCATTCCCAGTGCCATCAAGTCAGGAGAGGAGAGACAAGGTAACTAAAGCTGATTCCACTGATAGGACCTTATACGAATAGTGCAAACAATGAAATTCGAAGGGCAGTAGTCCGGAGTATTTGCAATAACAACAACCTCGTCAGTCAGCGTAACGAATAAAACATTACTAACAAGGCAAGCAGCTTTAATCGTGTGATTCAACCGCCAGCACGGACAATCGAGACCGCGTGACCAACGAAGATCTTGAAATATCACTGTGCCAATGACGACATTACACGAAACTTATTAACTGGGGACTTGAATGCCACGAAACGTCACACGTGAGATTGACGATTGATCCTGAACATGATACCAAGATACTCAAGGATGTGCTCCAAGCTAAGCCAGCCCGCCTGACTATTGCATCATTTCACGCCCATGTTTAAGATCCCCGAGTTGTTGCTGGAAGCTCCCATGTGGGAGTTTCAGAAAATTAGGGTACCTTATTTTGGGGTCCTTATAATAGGGATCCTATTATTTAGGGCACTATATTAGGGTCCCCTATTTTCGGAAACCCCCATGTAGTGAGACCGCCAGCTGCTGCAGCAGCTCTTCGGCAAAGGCTGCAGTCCACTCTCACAAGGGGGTCATAGGCCCATCTGACATGTGCGCAGCGTCTAGCTAGTTCATGTAGGATTCTCGTCTAGAGCCGCGCATTAGTGTTCTTATGAAGTCGTTCTTTGGTCTCGCTCACTGTATACATATGTCAAGCATAGTTCGTGGTTTCTTGCGAAGAATCTGTCAAATCCTAGTGGCGTCATCACGACCCACGCCTGAGCATCTACAAAACCAGGCAAAAAGAGAAGGCAACCTCAAGCGCTCTCTCCCTCTTCGTGCTTTCCAGATCTGGGTGTTGACTTCGAGCCTGAATGGCATGGTTCGTGATCTCAGCACCCTCATTAGCCCAGGCAGCCCGACCCAATAGCTGAGTTAGCACGATCAGTCGTGAAGAGGAACTACAATACAATGTAGCTAGGATACGTCTGTTTAGGGTTCTGGGTTTCAGGGCTGTCTTGGATTTCAGGGTCTAGGAAACTCAGTTAATCATGACCACTGCGCAGGTACATCAGCTGATCGCGGACAGGGCATGGCAGCTGGCTTTGACTCAACACATGGGCATGTGCCATCAAGACGATGTATCGTGCTTGTGGTCAAACGAACATCCACATAAGAAGCCTGGACTTGGCACATTCCCACTGGTTGAAAAAAAGCGGCAGTGAGATGAGTGAAACAGCTAGCCATCGAAACTACAGCATAGGGGCAAGAAAACACGCAACACAGATCCTTGGAATTTTGAGGTCCAGGGGCCGATCCGGCCAAACTATTACGTTTCACCCTCGAATCATGATGTGCGACTAGGCAGGAAGCCTCAAGACAACAGCAAACACATGGAGCTTTCTGATCCAAGATGTCCAGCCTCGCAGCTGCTTCTTTAAACACAGACGTGGGCAAGTCTCAAAATCAGGGTTCCTCTCTCCCAGTTTAAAGCCGAATACAGGGGCCCTGATACCTACAATGGGGCTTTGGGGTATATTAGGCTATAATCATAATGAGGAACCCTCAGAAGAGTATATGGATAATGATTGAGGCCCCTATATTAGATACAACAGATCGTCACACAACACAGAGAGGATCCCTGCTTATCTCAGTTGCCCATCGTACCGTTCCATTGCCGGCGTCGATGTCAGTCTGTGGCCGCATACGGCCGCTTGCAGCTCAGAGTTATTTAGGCCGTGTGAAGGGCCTTCAGGTGGTTCTGGAGTCCGCACCAGCTAGAAGAGGGTCTTTGGGTATATTATACTAAGTTCTATTTAATTACGATACATGGAATCAGGAAACCGGAGGAATAGCCCGAGGAGACACACTCCGGGCACCTGTATCTAGGATTGTCGCGTCGGGACACCCATCTCGTAGGCGTGAAACGCAGGAAATTCGGAGAGAAAGTGGCTTAGTCCCGCTTTGAAGATCACAGCTCCGATAGCTTTACAGGCACGACCTAGGGTTTCAGCTGGCTTAAGGGGATGATGTTTGTCATCGCTGTGCTCCTTGAACGGGCTCCGCCCTGACGTTACCGAACACAAACAAGCTTTAGTTGATCGTACAGTTGTCTGAACGGAAAGGGGTGAAACAGATCGCCGTTATGACTTTTGGAAAAGAAGGCTCGGCTCCTTTACCGGACCTGTATACCTGTGCTGCCACAGGAACCCATATTAGCTCAGGAAGGCGACAGACACGCCCGGATTCTTCACCTCGTTGAGAGCTGCCAGGGTTGACGACTTGGGGTTCCAGTTTTGGCTTTCAGGTTTTGGGGGTCGGGCCGCTGAAAGGCAAATACTGAGCTGGCCACCTGTGGCGTGCTTTCCTAAACCCTGCACCCCCATAGACCCCCCTACAGAACTCCCCCTTTTGAGGACCCCAAACACTATGGCACGATGGTTTCTGCTCTCATCAAGCGTGTTACGAATTTCAGCCATGGCAGCCACAGTCTCTTCTTGTCACGACCATTGGAATCCGTGGCTGTTGGCTTACGGTTTGGCGTTTAGGATTTAGGGATCAAGATTTAGCTGCTCCGGCACAAGTAGACCCTAAACTCTAAACTCTACACCCTACGACAGCTGCAGCAGCTTTGTTTGGACCATTCACCTTGACTGTGCTGGCATAAGTTGCTCGCTCGGTATCGCCAGTCCCGCTATCAGTGCTGGAATCTAGGAGCTACTGTAGCATCATGATACCAGGAAACGCGAAGGAAAATATTTATGATCGTTCAAGTCCAGAATACACCCTTTCAGTGTCCCTTTCAGAAATCCTGCAAGGACCTTCTGTCTTCCATGACACTTCTACGAAAACGGCTGACTTCTTGGCCCAATTGCGACTACAATTGTGGATATGAAGAGCATGATCGCACTATTACAGCTAGAGGATCTTTCGGGCGATGCAATCGTCGCAGTATTCAGAACAGCAGATGCATAAGCCTGAAACGTCCTGAAAAATGCAGCCGCAAGAGCCCACTAGACTCTAGACCCGCTGGAAACTCCACACCAAGTGCATGGAGCGGCCTGCATAAGGAGGACTCACCCCAAGCCCTAGCCAACACTCTAAAATGACACAAAAAACCCGGCTCAGGAGCCGCTGGGAGTTTTCTATACGTGGTTTTGGGGGCCCAAGAAACAAGATCACCAGATGGAGCGAAGGTGCGACTACAGCAAGGTGGCCAGGAATAGACTGGCCCGGCGTAGCCGTCAGCTGCTCTGCCACCTGGCATCCGATCCTTTCCCGCTTCACCCTACTGCTCCATCTGCTGATCAAGGGGCTCCAACTCTTGCGATTTTTGCATTTGGGGCTGACTGGTAGTCGAGGTACTGAGTTTGATGTACTAAATGGACTCGTAAACCCTAGACTGCAGGCACCTGCACATAGCTGACCACTGTCGTGGCGGGGGCAGCACCAGACGCGGACCAAATGGTGAACGTGGCGCAGCGCATGTCGATGTCATTTTCCACCTTTTCGGTTTGAGGCCTCCTGTTTGAGTAAAGTCCTACGAGGAGCATTTCCGGGAGCAGAAGGAGATGATAGTGCTGAGTATTCCAGCCAGTGCTGCGGCCTAGTGTCCAGGCTTAGTTCTTTAAGCTCGCTTCTCGGCTCTTCAAGCCGTCGGGTCGAGAGTTTGGGGGCTCTGGGTTGGGAGTTTATAGCGAGCTTAGATCTTGGGCAGAATAAAAGGATCGCGGCTGTAGTTCGATAGAGGCAAGAAAGAGACTGAGCCCACAACTTCGAACTGGACCGACCCTAACGCCCAATACAGAAAAACATACTAAGGAACTGTGGGGAATAGCATTGGCATTGATACAAACTTCTAGACACAGTTTCGTTCGCGGCCATTTTAAAATCAAAGGGTTGGCTGCCATTGAAAGCAGACCACTATTGACGGTCCAACCTTGATCCCTGCTGCATTTGATGAACGGGCTCTCTAAACACAACTTATCTTGGAGTGGGAGCCTTCGTGTGGACATGCCGCCTGCAACAACCGTGTTGTGGACTAGCCGTCTCGATGATCATCAGTATTGTGATTATTGTGGATAGCGTTGTCACTCTTGTGATTACTGGTGTTACTCTGAACGACTGCTGCCTTGGGAGGCGAGGGGACTACCCTCAGGCGCTAACCCTCAACCCTATACCCTCACCCCCGGCTTCCCCTCCACGTGGCCTCAATGACATCCCCCAGCTCGATTTGCGGGAGCGTGGAGGCAATGCGGATTACCTGAAACCAAGGGTCCGGGTTTAGGATGTACGGATTACCCATAGGCCCTGAAGTAGCTCCTTCTTGGGATTACCTTATAGGATTCTATATATGAATCCCAAAAGGAACTACTATGGGGCCTATGGGTAGGGCTTAGGGGATCAGGGTGAAGGCCTGGATTCTGATGCTTGTCCTCTAGGAACCTCCTGTTGTTGGGCCCCGAAACCTAAACCCTAAACCCTAAACCCTAAACCCTAAACCCTAAACCCTAAACCGCTCCGCTTTGCACTCCAACGATTCGGGAAGATTCCGTCGGAAAGCCATCTTGACAGGTCCGTGCTTGGAGGATCATGGGACTTAGTAAGTAAGGTTAGAATTAGGGTAACTATACTTAAGGGTTTAGGGTTTAGGGTTTAGGGGTTAGTGTTTAGGGTTTAGGGTTTAGGGCTTGGAGGATCATGGGACTTAGTAAGTAAGGTTATAAGTCCCTTAATTGGGGGTTATAAGTATAGTTACCTCATTATAACCCTACTTACTAAGCCCCATGATCCTTTAAGTGCTGACACCCTCAGATCGCACTCACTGCGACATCGACAATCGGTTTCTTTCTCAAAGATGCAAACAACGCCGATGCGAAGCTTCATCGAAGCATCAAAGAGCCTGTAGGCTTTGGTCGTAGGACACTCGCGAAGCCTGAGCCTGAAACTGCACCCTGAAACACAAGGAGCCGTGCCCTAAATCCAGAACATTCCTACAGACACAAAGTCAACATGTCCCAATTCGGAAACCCGAGACTTCAACCCAAGCGGACCCACACTCTTGCGGAAGGTCTCTTCATACGCCCTGGTGCGCGCTGGTTCACGCGGCTGCACAGGCGGCCAGTGCGGTTCAGAAACCTGGACTACCCACGAGGCCCTCGTCCCCTTTCATTGAGATCTCCAAACTGAAACGCAACCCAACCCGCTACCACCCTCTGGAATTCACAGCTGCAAGAAGAAAAGATGCTGCTTCGGTTGCTAAGCTTTAGGTGTTTCGGGGTTGAGGAGTTGCGGAGACAAGGCTGAGGAACTCGGCTGAAGGTGTTCCAGGCTCATTTGGGTTGTGGAACCTGGAACAGCGTTGGCATCCCTCCAGTTGAGCGAGCATACTAGGGTTTAGGGTTTAGGGCTTAGGGTTTAGGGCTTAGGGTTTAGGGTTTAGGCGCGAGCCCAACAAAATTCTACTCAGTGTGAGCACTGCTGCTCCGCAAGAACAGTGATAGACGAGTCTGCCAGGAGGCTATCTTCACAAAGGCATCCTTGCACATGACTGCAATCCCTCCACCGACGTGTTTGTGAAAATTGGCGCGGGTGGGAATATCTGTCACAACATCCTGGCCAGCCTTCTAGCAACCCTTTTTTGCATATAGTAACCCTGGCAACCCTGAACGAAAACCTTTTTTGTCATCCCTCATAGAAGGCCCAACAGCCTGAACTCCAGATTCCGACATCCCAATTCATGTCTACCTGGGCCTGTCTAGTGCCATCTACCCACAGGTAACTTAGGGAGTTGACGGTCGGGGTTTCGGGTCTGCAGTTCGTTGGGGCATCTTTTTCTGCTTCTTCTGGGATATAAGGATCTTAAAATGCGCAGACCCGTAAACCCTCATCAAATAGTCAGGCTCGTAAACCCCAAACCCCAAACTGTAAAACCCTAAGCACCACCCACAGCCCAAACCCAAAACCCTGAACCCAGAGCCCTGCAGCCGGAACCCTAAACCCCTAAACCCTAAACCCTAAACCCTAAACCCTGAACCACCAGCCAAGTGGGAGCCCAAGGAACACCGACACGATTTGCTGGATGTCGGAGTTCTTCGGCAGGTGCGACGAGAAGATGATACCAACCTTGCTTTGACAGGGGATTTAGGGTTTAGGGTTTAGGGTTTTTGTTGACAGGGGATTTATGCTGCTTACAGGATTTTGCTAGGACTCTATATAGAGATGCATTAGAACGGCATTCCCTTAAGAAAGCCCCTGATTGAACCCTTACAAGCACCCTCAAAGGAACCCTTGAGTATACCCAGCCTCGACCCTAACTTGCGGCTGCCGATTTGGAGTTTGAGGTTTTGTGCACCTTGAAGCTAAGGAAAACTGCATCCTAAACTGTTAGCCCTTAGGCGTCTGGAATCCCCGTTTGCACGGCCCTTAAGCCGCAACCACACGATCCCGCAACCTACAACCCCAGATAGAAACTCTGGGAGCTGACAAAAGGATGCTTGCTCGAACCCATCCCTACACAAGCAACCCCCATTGGTTTGCTTCAGAAACCCGCAACACAACCCTTTAAAATCCTATAGAACGCTACTAAAACGCTCATGGCACCCCGCGACTTTAAGAAGCCCAAATCTGTGCCCTGGAACGCCATCTGCCCGGCTTAGTTCCCCGGAGAGAAAGGAGACCTGGTACCTCTCCACACCTCCAGGCATGAGGGGGGCAATTTAGGGTTTAGGGTTTGGGGTTTACGGCCAGGGGGTGCTTTCGGATGTTGGGGTGTAGGGTTGAAGGATTCTAGAGCTTAAGGTCTTGCGGTTTCAGGTGGACTGCCTGCCGGTTTGGAAGCTTTCAGCGACATCTTTCGTTCCTGCATATCTACTCGGATCCTGGCTACTGCGAAATTCCACACTGCCACAGTGCTACGATAGATTTGGGCGTCTTTGGGACGGTGTGGCGCTACTAGAGAGTGGTGGATGTGGGCTTGGGGCTTTCGCAGCCTGGGACTTGGGGCTAACGGCTCCAAATGGATTCTAGATCAGCTCTACAAAGCGCTCTAGAGTTGAGTCAAAAACTGTTAATCCTAGGCTTCATCGCCATCACCGTCATCGTCCCCCTGGCTATCACCATCTCAATTCGTCAGAGAAAGGCTATAAAGGAGATCTGCCCTAAACTTTAAACTCAAAACCCTAAACCCCAAAATTCTTTCAAAACACCCGATCTCAGAGGCCCAGCCTTTCTTGTGCACGCGATCCTCCGACACCAGAGACAACCGGCCCTTCTGCCTCGGCTCAAAGAGACCAGGGCTAGGGTGCCGGTAGGGTTTAGGGTTTAGGGGGCCAGTACGCCACTTTTGGGGTCTTGGGTGTTACTTCTGTGCTTTCTTTGTCGGCGGGTTTGAGAGCATCCGAGCGGCTTCTTGGTGAATGATCTCCCATCCTCGGCGAAGGTTTCAGCTTTGCCGCGCACATGGAAGCGGTGGAGACGCGGGGCTGGAGGTATATGACCGTAGCCTCCACCGGCAGGCATGTCAAAGGAGATGGACCTCACCGTCTCGCCGTAGCCCGTCGAACCCAAGGTCAGAGAACGTAGGAGGTCCCTGTAGTCCAGCTGGTCAAAGGCTGCGGGGCCCACGTGCTCCACGTTGTCCACATGGTCCGTAGTATGGTCTGTGGGAAACGTGAAGCTGCGGTCGGCGAATGAGGGAATTTCAATGTCCGTAGGGATCTTCAACGGCATATTGCTCCCGATAGCTCCGAGAGTCGAGGGTCTGCGGACCCCCAACTTCGAGGGCAAAGGTGGGAGTGGAGGCACCTCCGGCTGGTTCCGGAGCTGCGAGAGCATGCCGAAGACTAGCTTTAAGGCCTCGATCTCTCTGGCCTCCTCCCAGGGCGTGGGCGTCACGCTGATACCTGGGGTCAGGACTGTTGGAGGGCACCAAGAAACGATGGTATTGCATGCTATATGTATACATACATATATGTATATAGCAATGAAACACATGATCTGAAATGTATGTGGGAGCAACAAAGACTAGCATACAAAAAACAGAAGAGAACAGAATAGAATCACATGTATGTGTGTATTGTGTGTATATAGATACTTATGATTGAGAATATATGATACTTACTATGCGACGTGCATTACTCATTGTTGTTTGTAACTCTTCTTTGATATATCATCCCTGAAAACTATACCTGAGCAGAAAATAAATGCATTCTAGATATGTTTATGTATATATGTATGCTACATATTATTATGACTGTATAATATGAAAGTGCATATATAAGTATATGTATATATATATATATATGTATATACATCAAGAGCATATTGTGTTAACATGGGGCAAGCCAGGCGGCAAAATAATGTAAATGGCGTGAGCTTCGCGTCCTGAAGAAGATCCAAGAGCTCTTCCACCTTGCATTCATCCTCGATCTCACATGGGTCCCAAGATAGTGACCTTCTGAGCATTTCCGTCGGCTGGATAGGCAAAGGGCTTCGATCGAGGTCGCTTTCCTTGATGCGACCTCGTGTCTTTGACGTAGCCCGAAACAGCACCCAGGAATACTTGGAGACGACAACTGCGGCGACCACGACGAGCGCGGCAACGACGAGGACAACGACGACGAGGCACTACCACGACCACAACCACAACCACGACAAAACCCGAAAGAAGAAATAACCAGAAACGAAACAGCAACAACCACGACGAGGACGAACACGACGACGACCACGAAAACAAACACAACCACATCGAGAATAAGAACAAGAACGGAAGCAGCAGCCAACAACAACTACTACTACTACTACTACTACTGCTACTGCATCTACTAAAAGCGAAGCAGCAACGGCAACTGCGTCAGCAGCAGCAAAATCTGAGAGGCAGCTGCAGGTGAAGTACATCGTCAAGTACAGCAAGGCTGCGGCAGCACGGCTCCGACATGCAGCGGGTCAAAACACTATATGCCGAGACAAAGCCAGATGCGGGAGATTCCAAACCCGAACGACAACAACAGCAGCAGCCGCAGCCACACACAGCTACAGAACACCCAAAATCACATCGACAACCACATCTATCACAACTACCACGACTACTACCACGACAACAACCACTACCACAACCAACGCGGCCACAGCCACTGCAAGAATGCAAAATCCGCGGGCTAAGCCCCCAAATTCCTAAGCCCGCCAGGACGCAGAGCCCGAATCAAACATAAAATGACGACGACAAGACATTTGTCTGATTTGTATTATTGTGACTATTAATATTACTACTCTTGTCATTATTGTCCATGTTATAAGTTTGATTATTGCTGCTATTGATATTGGCATGAGTTTGGCATTTTCGTTATTTTGATTATCCGTGCTTACTATCAACATTTCACTTAGTAGGTCAAGGGGCTGGAAAACTTACTATCAACATTTTACTTCGTAGGTCGAGGGGCTGGAAAACAAGCCGGGTGGATCCAAGCCTGCGAACATCATCGGTCTGCCTCGCCCGGGCGCCCCGTGGCGCCTGAAACCAAGGGGCGGCCAGACCTGGATGTCAAAACCTCGCGAGGATGGTTTAGGGCTTAGGGTCGGAGGGTTTAGGGTTTAGGGCATAGGGTCGGAGGGGTTGAGGGTCTTTCAGATACGTTAGCGTCCAGGGATCTTAAGATTCGGATGTTAGGATTGCTTAAGGTGTCTTATTGTGGGTTTGGGCTTGAGGTTTTTGAGTTTTAGCGTCCTTTAGAGCTTATGGCTTTTCGGGGCTTTGGGATGAGGATTCAGTACTTTCGCTTCCACAGAGGTCTGCGATATTGAGACATCCAAGGGACTTGGGACCCAGGGAATTGGAGGCATTAGATCAAGGATGAGACTCGTTCTGGGTGATCTGGGTGTTTAGGGCTGCGATATGCCAACTCTGAACCCTAGACCCTAGAACCAAAGCCCGGGAAGCCCGAACTCTACAACCCTAAACCATGAAACCTCAAAGCTAAACCCTACCTGGCCTCGTGACTTCATACAGTGATCGCTACGAGTTTGAGCCAACAGCCACAGCGAGTTCATGCATGCTCCGGTCTTTTCAGCTGCAGCTCCCCAGGGTATCGGTTGAGGGCTTGAGGTTTAGAGTCCAGAAAATTCGGGAGTCGGATTCGGGGTTTAGGGAACGTAGAGATGATCATAAACATCCCCGAATTCCTGACTTGCCCGACCTGGAATCAGAAAGCCGAAAATCAGCATGCTTACTCTGAAGAATGCGAACATTTCTAGCATTATCAACAATTCTAGGGTTTATACTCATAATTTCCCAACTGTCAACCCTGCGGCCTCTACTGATTACATGTATTTAGGGTTTAGGGTTTAGGGTTTAGTAACATCACTATATTGCCCAGCTCTATCAGACTCTATCATTGGTTCTGCTGCCTCATTGATATTGCTGCACCCATTGGCGACACTGCACAAAGCACCTGCAACCCGAAACCTGAAACCCTAAACCCAACGACCCTTACTGAACCTTAAACCCTAAGACCCTAAACCCTAAACAACCGCACACGAAGAAAGCAAAGCCCTAAATCTTAAACCTCTTAAATCCTAAACCCTAAACCCTAAACCCTAAACCCTAAACCCTAAACCCTAAACTCATGGAAGACCTGGGCCCGGCTGGTCTGGATGATGTTGCGCAAGGTCTCCCCACGGTGGCCCATGACCTCTGCGAGCAGGAGCAGAGAGTAGGGGTGGCTCTGGCTCGGAGCCGGTTCAGCGTTCCTTCTTGCTGCTTTTCAGGGTCTAGGGCTTGGGTTCTGCATGGGCTTGATACAATTTTGGGGGGGCTCCTTATTACAACTATGGTACAATAATGGGCCTCTAAACCCTAAACCCTAAACCCTAAACCCTAAACCCTAGTTATTCTAATTAAGGTTTGGGGCTCAGGGCCTGCGCTTGAGGAATCCCGGATCGGCCTCTCACGTTCCAAGCGCCTTCTGCCGTTGCATCCCACTACAAGTTCGGAATGTCGACTACGCAGCACCTGAGAACAATCATAGCAAGACCAAGCAGACTATACTGGCAAGAAAAGTTAGCCTCAGCATCACCGCGAATAGAATATGAGTGTTACTGAAGTAATCGTCACCGTTACTCCTCTCACCATCATCGCTGTCATCTTGGTCGTCTTCATGATGATTGGTTTTGGATACAACAACCCCCTCATTCAGTCCAATTACAAGGCCCTGGGGCTTGGGTGTTATACCGGTTTTCGGAGGGCTTGATACAGACGTGGGCTTCAAGGAAGGCTTTGCAAGCGTGCTTCCAGGCCTCAAAATTGTTTTCAGGACCTCTGCAGCCCTTAACTTCTGGAGACTCCACTTGGAGGATCATGCTTAGTAAGGTTATAAGTCCCTCAATTGGGGTTATACGTATAGTTACCCTAAGTATAACCCTACTTACTAAGTCCGATGATCCTAAACCCTAAACCCTAAACCCTAAACCCTACTTACTAAGTCCCATGATCCTTTAAGTAGCTTCTGGAGACTCCAATGAAACAGTCTCTTGAGGAGTCCACCGATCCGAAAAGCTCCGTGGGGACCAGGAGCCGCAGTTTCTGGCTGTCCGCCTTCGCTCGGGCTTGCCGCTAGGACACTGGGACTACGCATAGGCCCCATAGTAATTAGTTCCTTTTTGGGACTACCTTATAGGATTCTATATATGAACCCCAAAAAGGCACTACTTTTCATATATAGAATCCTATAAGGTAACCCCAAAAAGGAGCTACTATGGGGCCCAAGGGTGCTATCATCACGAAAGTTATCGCAAAACGCGGTCCTGCAGACTTCATACAAGCAGTACGATTCTAGACTCCCCCTACGGCAACTGCCCAGAGCCCGAAAGCTGGCTCAGTAGCATGCAGCTTGAACGAAACCCACCAAAGCAAAGGGAAGCAGCACCGAAGCCAAAGGCTTAGATTCCCAAACCCATACTACAAGCCCGAAGCCCTGAAGCACCCTGAACTTTTATTTCTGCTACAACGTACCCCGAAGCGACAGGACCCTAAACCCTGCACCGTAAGACCCCAACCCTAAAACTCTCCTGTCAAACTAACCTCAAAGAACAACTGCCAAAAGCCTTGAACCTTGAATGACATAAACTGCACTCTGAAAACCTCTAAAGGCCCTAAAGCCCCAAAATGTACCGCGTAACCCTAGACCTAGGGGCCTACATAATTGCCAACACTTTCGGGTTCCTTTGTTGTGCTTATCGTATAATATACCCTCAAACCCTATTCTCATTCTTGACGCCCCTACCCTTACAGTAACCCGTAAACGAACCCTTACAGTAACCCTAAACCCTAACCCTAAACCGTACATCCTAAACCTTAAAGGAACCCTTGAACCCTTAAAGGAGCCCTTTAAAGGAGCCCCAAAGCTCCAGGAGTAGCTCAAGAGGCCTCAGCCCGCGAAGTGAGGTCTTCGAGCACCTCGGGTTTAGGGGCTTAGGGGCTTAGGAGTTTAGGGTATACGGTTTTGGGGTTTCGGGGTTCGGGTTTAAGGTTTCAGGGATTTAGGGCTTCGGGTTTAGGGGTTTAGGGTCGATCTTGATGGCTTTTCTGAAACAGGGTGTTGGTGTTTTTGAGTTTAGGGTTTAGAGTTTTGCTGTTGGCTCCGGGTTTTGGGGTTTTCAGGGTTTTTCGGGTGTCGCGGGTTCGCAGTTAGGGGTTTAAGAGTTTTAGGATTTCTGGGTCTTGCGGGTTAGTTTGGGCTTAACCCGGTTCATACATCAACTCCCTCCCTTGCCTTAACTGCGTACTATATCTTTGGCAAGCCTTATAAAATCTGCTAAACCCGTTTCAATGCTTGTAGAACTTTAATAAGATGCTTGCACAGTCTTCTGAAGCCCTACGAACCCTTGTCAAACCCTCCCCGAGCCCCCGGACGAGTTGGACCACCTTGAGCCGCTCCTGTCTAGCTTTAGGGTCTAGGGTCGTAGTGTTGAGGGGATAAGGGTCCCTTTTAGGGTCCTTTTTATAAGAGTGCCATACTATATTGAGGCCCCCAAAAGGGACCCTAACTTAGAGAACTACCCAGAAGGTGATAGGCCTTGGGGTTCAGAGGTATGGTTTGGGTGTTAGCATGGTGCGGATGATTCTTGGGGCGGAAGGGGTTCAATTTTTTTTATAAATAAATACTTAAACATACATAGAGCTATCTGTGAGCATATACACATATACCCTAACATACACAAGCGTTCTGCACACAGAAACAGGATGGAAAGAGTGTGAGCGAGAGAAACCTATCAATGAGTCTTGTTGATTTCGTGCTTGCCTTCGGATCCATAGACATATATATATATATACACATATATATATATATATATTACACAATGACAATGTGAGTGAGAGAGTGATGGAGTGAGAGTGACTGAGTGAGCATGCTTGTTACTATCTCTTCGTACGCAATTCGAAAGCATCCCAACCGGAGAACCGGAGTGGGCCTCGAGGCTAGCAGCAGAGATGTCAAGAAACCGCTCCTCCAGGCAGCGTGACAGTGAGGCTTCGGATTTCGGGTTTGGGGCTTACGGTTGGAAGTCCGCCTACAACTTGAGAGTCAGAGCATGGCTGTTGCGATTCTTGTGACTATGTAACACTGGAACGTGATGCTCTTGACAGCAATTCCTCGTGTGATTCCTCCGAAAAGAAAAAATTGCGGTGACTACGACCGAGCCGGATTCTACTGTGATCGCGGCGTTCACATTGGCACGGCTCCTTTTCGTACCCTTTCTGCGCTTGCTGTTCCTACTACTCCTACTCCTACTCTTATGCTACTCCTACTGACTCCTACTCCTACTCCTACTACTCTACGCCTACTAATTACTCCTACTTATCCTGCTACTCCTCCTATGTACTCTTCTTTCTTGCTTTGCTCCTGCTCTTACTCGTACTCCTACTCCTACTCCTCCTTCTACCTAATGCTACTTCTACACCCTGACAGCCCAAGTCTCGCTGTCTGAATCTTTGGAATATGGATTACCAGTGTATAATCCTGCACTCCTCTGGATCGAATGGCGGGGCATCCGCATCGCCCATGTTGACCTCAGGCTCTGTTTCGCAGGCGCAAACCTTGGACCCTGGAAGCAGGCTAAAGAGACTGCCTTTTCACGCAAGGAGCTTGAAGATTCCTAGCTGATAACCTTGGACCAGCAGATGTGAGAAACAAAAAGGAGGGGGGCTGAGTATGTTTGACCTCGCGGCAACATCCAATTGGTGGACTCCACGTGTTCAGGTTCAACCCTGCGTCTGTCGTTGTTTGCAAGATTTCGGCTCGGCGCTGTCAGAAATTCTTGGGGTGATCATGCTCGCAATGCATCAGCTTGTGGAAGGGTCTAGCCAATGAGGGCATTGATCACCAACGCTTGTCGAACGTGTGATGCTGGCGCTGATCATGCGAACGAGGAAGGGGTGATCATGATGGCAAGGGTAACGAAAATGAAGAGGAGGACGACGACGAAGGGCAGGAGGATGACGACGACGACGACAAGTATGATAATAATCCTGGCGACCATGACGATGGTGATGCTGGCCAAGACATGATGAGATTGATTGTCCTCATCATGGTCATGATCATGGTCATGGCAAACCCAAACTAACACTGTAGCAGTGTGAAAGGCTAGTTCAGACCAGAGCAACACACACCCTTTCGCGCAAGATGGCCGGCCGAGTCATGGTGTAGGGTTTAGGGGGCCAGTTTGGGGTTGTGGGTTGTCGGGTTGCTGGTCGAGGGTTTAGGGCGGAGGTTCCTGTTTCTTGCGCGGGGACGACTCCGGCAATCAACGAACCTGGCTGATCAGCCTTTTACAGGACAGCCCTCTCGAATTCTACCCTCACGGCTTCTCATCTACTCATCCTTCCCTTTCACTGCAAAGCGCCGAGGTGTCACAGCACATGAGCACCAGCCACTTTGGGCTTTGCGCTTCGGGTTTATGTTACATTATGTTACTGGTATGAAAGTGGGAAGATGTGCAGCAACTCGCCAGCCTGGTCGGGGCCTGAACCCTGGGATGGGATGAAGAAGGTGCTGACGGCCACTCGCTCGGAGGAGTTCATGAAGGTCGTGAAGACCGGATTCGCGGTGGAGTTGGATGCCATGCGAATTGGTACCTTTACGAACCCAAGCCCATCACCCAAAAAGATCCTCCAAGTGTACCAGTTGTCCAGCTCGCCCTGAGCTTCCATGATAAACCACCGCGCTTTGGCCCAGTAGAAGGAACTCCTTGAGCCCAACTTCCCTGTGACGCCGTCCTCCGGAAGCCAATCATTCACCTCTGGAGTTGTCTTCGAGGCACGGTAGAAGCTCTCGGATTTTGGTCTTCGCAATAGATGGATTTTGGCTTTTGCAATAGAATGACTGTACGAATACATATATATATATATATATATACATATTTATTTATTTATTTATATTTATATTTATAGTCATATTTATATTTATATTTATATTTATATACAGTATTAACCAAGCATGAAAATTTCGTGCGAGAACGGCCGCGTCACCACTTTGAGCAGTTGCGCTTGCCACTGCCAGTCCTTGCTCGAGCCTCGAAGGAACCCGCGAAGCACTGCCACCGCCTGCGAGCGCGGGATGCTCCGGGAACTCTTTGGGATGCTTGTATTTCAGGTTAAAGGCTTAAATTTTGGGTCGTTGCTTCCGGGTTAAGGACTCCCTGTCAATGGACGAGTTCATATCGCTCCTCTGGGACAAGAACGGCTTCTAGGCATGGTCAGAAGGGAAGGCATCCGTGCATACTTTAAGGAGGTGTCTGCCATCTTCGGTACTGTGCGACTGTTCCTCACTGTAGCCTCAGGAAACAGTCCCCGTGCAATGTCCATGAGATACTGGTGTTCCTTATGAATGTGAACAGCTAGAGTCGTCACAGCTGCAACTTAAAACATGTACAGTCATATTACTCCGTGGCCGTTGTAGAGTTTCGGTGTTACCCATGCCCAACACTGAATGGCATGACGGCACAACAAGATGAGTTCTGCTGAACGTGGCGATTGGGAAAGCGACACAGAACTTGATGGCGGCGAACACATCCAACATCATCCAACTTATCCTGGCTCACTCGTGACGAAGAACCATGATGGAAGGTGAGAACCCATGGCAGGCAGGAGCAATCTTTGTGGCAGATGAAAACCTCAAAAGATCGGTGTATTCACGGTGACAGCAGCGAAAACGACTGCACCGATATCAAACATGGCAGCCATGAACATGGTACAGATGGTCCTGGTTCTTGAAGTACAAGGGCAAACACGCAAGAGCAGCGGAGGAAGTGGGAGTCGTCATCTGGGTGCTGTTGATGCAGAAACGATGTCAAGGCCGACGCGGGATTGCAGGCAAAGCTTAGTTCCGAATGAGAGTACGAGAGACGAACGTCGACACTGCACTGAGTCTGCTTACTACTGGCTGAAAACACTGGATTGTCGACGATGCGAACGAACATCACATTGGATGATTTCTGCGCTTGAAGCACTGGGGACAACAACAAGATCGAACTTGACGGAAACGAAAGAAATATTACCGGCCTGCTGGTCAACCTTCGTGTCCCCTTTACTTATGTAGCAGTGCATGCCGATGGTCAACTCATCTGCCGTCTCATCGACGACGGTGAGCGATGGTGTTCCTTCGGCACTGCCGCCTAAGGTCTGCTGGGACACAAAGGTCTTCGGGTCGCTCTGCCCACTCAAGAAATCTTCCACCCTTTCGTAGTAGGACGCTGCGACTGAGGGCCCGCTACAGTTGTTCTGCTCGTAGAGGAGCAGCACGCCGTCCCCAAGGAAGTAAAACTGACCCATGGAGGCCTGGGTCCGAAGAACCGCCGTCACTTCCAGGGAATTTGGGCTTTCGCCCACGGCGACATAAAGATCAAAGAGATCGTCAGGCGGCTGTTGCTTGTGGAATACTGCGATCCATTTCTTCAATCTGTCGTGGAAACGAATGCACGCCACATCCATGCCGACAGTGGATGGAGGACTGGAGATGTTGTTCAGCGCGGACGCTTGGAACGTCGCTGTGCCCAGTGACAGGTTTCCAATGCTGTCGATGAGGTGGCTGGCAAGCGCTGGAAGAAGCCAATCGTAAGCTAAGCGACTGTTCTGGTAGGAATTCAACGCCTGCAGTTCCGCAATTGACTTGTTCTGGAGCCTCTGATTGTTCGCCACGATGAGTGTGTTCCGCTGGTCTTCTATGCTCATGGCGGTCAATCCCGAATGACCCGTTGGGTCCCGCGACAGGATCGACTCGACCAGAAGAGCATATGCGACCTCGTCAGTGCTCAGACTCTGTATGGATGATACCGGTGTGGAGCACCTTGACTCCAAGTCACTGATGGCCGAATTCCGCAGCTCCTCCTCGCTGTACTGGATGAGCTCAGGCATGGGCTTGCGGCCCAAGAAGAAAAGCACGTCCCTTGCAATGGAGGCATCGGTATTTGAGGCAGTGTCTGCGGTTGACAGCTCCCCCATGTTCGACTGCAAAATGCAGGTTGAGTCGGTTGAGGTTGAGTCGGTCGAGTCGTCACAGCCCGCCAGGCCCAGACAAGCCCAAGGAGCAAAGATACGGGCGAAGATCACCTTTATCATGGCTGTACAGGCTCAGTCAACAGACCACTAAGCTTCTAAGCAAAAGTAACAGAAGTGAAAGCTTCTGCAGTTGCAGTCAGGAATTTTGACAAACAGAACTCCAACGACTTCCAACATTTACCTGCAAGCCGACAGAAAGGCCCACAGCGACTTGGGATTCATCTTGAATAGGCCACCGAAAGACCGATCACTGAATTCGGTACCGGCTCCTCAACAAAGCATATGCTGCAAGCTGCTGATCTCCACCACTGGTAACTCTTCAACTGCCAAGTGGCCGCAGCATAACCGACACTACCGTTGCTAGGTAAAGCCCAACTAGCCGAGGGCCCAACTTTGGCATGGTCACGGAGGCGAGCGATTTTGTTGCCTGCGCCAGGAGCAAAAAGAAATCTCACGCGAAAAGGGCTCCCTGCTACAAGCTGTAAGGATACGGCCAAACAACCTGAGAAAAATCCGGACAAGCCAGAGCGAAGCAACCATCTAGCTCGACTCCTGCCCAGACCGTCGAGACCAAGACCGCGGATCAAACTCAAAGCTTGAAACCATGGCGCGAGCTCATACCCAGTCAATCAAACTGCCATTTGGGGGTTTCCGAAAATAGGGGGTACCTTATTTTGGGGTCCTTATAATAGGGATCCTACTATGTGGGGTACTATATTAGGTTCCCTTATTTTGGGGAACCCCCATTTCGTCCTCTGAGCCGCTGCCTCTCTTTCCGACAATCCACGCTGCATCCTCCTTTGCGATGAGGAGCCGCACAGGCACCTTCGAGGGAGGAGAAGAGCAGGGCTCAGGAGTTCAAGCCCTCGTTGTCAAGTTCAGGGCTTGGGGGTAATAAGTTATAGGAACAATAACAAAAGTTCTGAAAAGCTTGGTATCTGGCATGGGGTCTTCTGGAACAACGTCTTCTGCACGGCTTCTCTGCAGCCCCGGCCTCTTTCTTGTCCCTGTCGCGCGCCGGGCGTGGCGCGCTGAAGAGGCTGGCTCCTGCGCCTGCTCTGGGTCTGGACGGTTGGACATGCCAGGGCACAGCTCATGGTAAGGTCAACCTTAAACCCTAAACCCTAAACCCCTAAACCCTAAACCCTAAACCCCTGTACCCCTAAACCCTAAACCCCTAAACCCTAAACCCTAAACCCTTGGCTTCTTGGGACTTTGAGATTCGGCTCGATGATCTGATGGGCGTTCGCTTGAAGCTGACTTTGTGGAGACCCTGAGATGAACATGGGAGTTTCCGAAAATTAGGGGTGCCTGATTTGGGGGTCCTTATAATAAGGATCCTGCTATTTGGGGGTCCTTATAATAAGGATCCTACTATTTAGGGTACTATATTAGGGTCCCCTATTTTCGGAAACCCCCACATGCAGGACTTTCCACGTCAGGCTTTGCAGCACTGCCGCCCCTACTCTAAACCCGTCAACAACAATCCTAAGGCTTAACACACCAACTTACAAACTTCTTTGAGTTTGTTGGAGTCTTGTGGTTGACAAAGCTCGAGGAAGTCGTGGGCAGGGTGTGGCACAGAGATGGAGTACTTGGAAGTCCAAAAAATCAGCAATAGGAGATCCTATTGTATACTATTGTTACGGCCGTAGGGTTTAGGGAGTTTGGGGCTTAGCATGTGATTACGGGATTAAAGATTCGAGTTTAGGGTTCGGGGAGCCTCCACCCCGATTGACTCCGAAACATTGGAGGCTCCGCCACCCCGAAACCCTAAACCGGTTTAGGATTAGGAATTAGGGTGCTTCTACAATCCTAAACCCAAAGCCGTGAACCCAAACCAACTCAAACAATCAGCCCTTGCAGTTGAAAGACAGGCTCTCGAAGCGGTAGACCCGAGCCTGCGCTAAAGCCTCCGGATTCCCGAAGGTCGAAATGCTCAGGAACCTTGAGGACCCCGCCTCACAGGGGCGCCGAGTTTGAAGTTAGGGTTTATTGCTTAGGGGTTTAAGGGTTTTAAGGGTTTTAAGGGTTTTTGGGTTTAAAGGTTTAAGGGTTTAGGGTTTAGGGTATTTAGGGTTTAGGGTCTCAGGACTTTGTGGCTTGGGCTCCGGGATGGTCGTTCTTTCCGGCACTTCTTGGGAGACTTGCTCCCAGCTCTGCATACTCGTGGCAGTGGCAGTAGCAGAGGTGGCAGCAGCCAAACACTTGGCGTAGAACTATGACGAGTTGTGAGCGGAAGCAAGAGCGGAAAAGCATACTGAATGCGGTTTAGGGTTCAGGGTTTATTCACAGTCCCAGACAACCAGTTGCGACGTCAGACTGAATCCAACTTTCTTACACGCGAAGCCACCACCCTAAACCTCCTGAACCATATCACGTAAGCCCAAACTCCTGGGTTCGAATCCCAAACCTAATACCCCCAAATCACAAACTCTAAAACCCTTCAATCGGTGTTTCGAGCCCTAAACCCTGAACTCCAAAACCCTAAACTGTCGATTCATCTCCCCCATTCTAAGCCCCCACGGCCCAACCCTAAACCCTAAACCAACAACCCCTAAACCCTAAACCCGAAACTCGAAACACTAAACCATAACTGGAAGCAAGAGGTTGGATATCCGCCTGAGGGTTTACTCCCTGACAGCGGCCCAGCAAAACAACTTTTCAGTGCAGCAGCCGTCTGTCGCTTCAGGCGTGTCCCGTCTTGGGACACACGAACTTCTCCCAGGAGAAGTGCTCTTCGGCCCCATCACCATCGGGGCTGACAATGCGAATTTCATTGAAATTGTTGGGAATTTGGACGCTGTCCAGGATGTCTTGAATCTCAGCAGCCTCCAAGAGGAAGCGAGGCTGAATAACTGGCCTCAGGTGCCGCCGCGCCACCGCGGCCCGCTGGAGGCAGTAGAGCTTCCAGGGCTGTGTTGTGAACAATTGTTCACGTCCGTCCGCAGCGCGGGCCCTGAAGACCACGATGGGAAACTCATGCCCCAAATAGCAGGCCTCGGCATCAGCGTTGACCTTCACCTGCTGCCAGACCCTGCTCAGCATTATGTCCTTTGCGCGGCCTTCCGGCTGTTTGTCGCCTATCTCAGCACAGGCGTAGCCGACTGAGAATGGGCTGATTCGGCCCATGTCCGTGGAGACGGTGATGTCTTCTTTGCGCGGGAAGGCCGTCCAAATGCACTCTGCAGTCGAAGAAGATGTGGACGCTTCTACCCCGGGCTCCGCTTCTTCAGTTTGAGGCGCCAGCTCTGGTGTCAAAGCAGTGGATGGCGCCTCCGTTGGCGGGGTGGCCGGGGCTTGGTGCCGAAGCCGTGGTTTCCAAGGTTTGGCCACATCTTTGACGGCCGTCGCGAAGAGACGCGACGGAGCATGGGCGGACTGCTGACCTGCTATCAATAAATATCAGGCTGAATGGCTCCACCAGTACGACTCACACTGTAAATGGCCTGGCACACGCTCCTGCCGGTGGTTCTCAGTGTCGCTGACATTGTGACCACCTGCACCTGGCAGCACGGTGTCACATGTCGCACCTGCAAACCCCGGTGCACAGCACCTTGCTCAGCCCTGCCTCCATGGCATTTGCTTGCATCTTGCCATCCTGCAGGCAACTCTCAGCAGAAAGGTTTTTCCGTGCATGCACAAGCGCAATAGGGACAACCTTGACTTCCACCGTCGGGCATTTGCGAAGCTTCGTGCCATTTGCCTGCAAGCCGAGGCCAAGACATGCCCAAGTCCCACTTCACGCAGCCCCCCCAAGTCACGCTTACCTTTGCATGGAGCTCACCAAACGATATGATGGGGCCTGCATCTCTGTGGCCACGGTTTCCTTGCCACGTTCCTGCAGAGAAGGCACTGCTTGCAGAGAGGATGAGAAACAGCCGAAGGGTTATGATGGCCTTCACCCTTGTCTGCAGATTCATACTTCTTGTAGCCATGCCAGCCTGCGCTCCGGTCGCCAGTTGCACCCTTCAAGCCTAAGCAGAAGCTAACGCCCGGCGCCTACACCCTCACCGGGTGAGGCTTGATAAGTCTTCGCTGGGCGTTGGCCATTCCACCGCCAGCCTACAGTTTGAGTTGAAGCTGCTTAAGCGATGTAAACTGAACCAAGCCCATCCTGTGTTTAGCTTGCCGGCCTGGGTCCTCTCTCCAGGACTGGTGGCTGCCTCCCGAGAACCTTCCCATCATTTGCCATCATATGCCATCCCTACCGCACAACTTCCCCTAAACCCTAAACCCTACCAGGCCTGACTCCTCCCAATCCTTCCACGTGGTTTTCCACTTGGACCAGCCCTCTTCCCACTTGGAGCTCACCATGGCAGCCCCCTTTAAAGAGGGGCTACAGGGAATTACGACTTCAAGACTCTAGAAGGCTTTGAGCTCTGCTGAGATGATCGGACAGGCAGCCATCTCTTGCATTTAATGTGCGCAGCTCACTCATATTGCATGTTGTTATATTATACTATACTATATTCGGCTACAATATGTTCTGTTACATCATGCTGCATTTTACTATATTATACTAATTCGATTCTATGTTTTATCATACTATATTATGCGACAGCGTGTATCATACTGTGCTAGATTATATTATAGTATATTCTATTCTGATATATTATGTGGGTAGCTCTCTAAATTAGGGTCCCTTTTAGAGGTCTTTTTATAAGAGTGCCGTACTATATTGGGGACCTAAAAAGGGACCCTAATTTAGAGAACTACCCATGTACAACATTATCTCAGATTCTGATCCAGCGAAGCTAGCGAGCCGGGCCTGAGACCAGCTCCCCCAAGACCTCGAGGATCCTGCGACGAGCTGGGCTTTCATTGGGGTTTAGGGTTTAGGGTTTGTTACATGTGCTCCGGAAGGGTTTCTTTGTGGACTGTTTAGGGTTTAGGGCTTGTTACATGTGCTTCGGAAGGGTTTCTTTGTAGACTGTTTAGGGTTTAGGGTTTAGGGTTCAGGGTTTGTTACATGTGCTCCGGAAGGGTTTCTTTGTAGAGGGTTTAGGGTTTAGGGGTTCGGGTTTAGGGATGGTTCCGGGATTTGATTCTGCTTCATGGAGGTGTTCAAGATGTGTTTTGGATGGTGTTGTTTTTTGCTTCTCTAAGGCTGTATAGGGATTCTAGGCTTCGGCCGAGTCTCGGGTTCGATCTGCGCCACACTTTGGCTTCTGGGACATGGGGTTTCGGCTGTGGCTTCCGAAGATAGCGCGTTGGGTCTGGAGTTCAGGAAGTTTGGGTCGCGGGCTTTCTGGGGCTCTCTCTTCAAAACGGATTCGATGAAATAACCCGAAACCCTAAACCCTAAACAGAATGCTCGTCTAAGGAGTGGGGTTTCAGACCGCAGTGGAGGTGGTGGGCACTCTTGATCTTCCAACCATTCTACCCCATCCAACTCAAACCGCATGCAGTACTGATGCAAGTAGTAGGCTAGTCAGTAAGCCTTCTGCCCTCATGTGCCTGCAGTGGAAGGGGTTAGGTAGGACTTTAGCGTGCTACGGAGGGTCGACCTCCAAACCGCGGCGGAGGCTTCCTGGATGTTGCTGGCACTGATTCGAACCTGTCACCAGGAGTAGTATTGGAGGCACCCGTAAACCTTAAGCCCGAAACGCTGGGCAGTATGAGTGCAAGCCCCAGCCCTAACCCAACACCCTTTATCCTAATATCAGTAGTCTGCTGAGTACTGGTCTGAAAATCAGTCTGGGCATAGTCTGTGGAGACACGTCCAACTTAATGTCTCCAATTGCTACCCCTATGGTTGATGTCCACAACAACACCCTGGAGGAGGGTTGCCGCTGATGTCCCCTGCTATCCTCTTGTTCCTCTGGCTCTTGCTTGCCACCGCTTCCTCGTGCATTGACCAAAGGCTGCTCTCACCACCACATCATCACCTTCATCATCATGGTTTATACAAATATCGAATCCAGCATCATCATGGCTCATGTCAATATCGAGCGACTCCCTAGGTTCCCCAGTAGCCCCTTAAGAAGAAGGGTACCCTTTTCCTGGTTTTGCTACGGGAATCCAAAAAGAAAAAGGGCAAACCTAGCTCCGGCGAGATTGCAATTTTTGCCTTCTTCTGCTCCAGGCCGCACACAGGGTCCTCGACCGGCAGCGCGGTGCTGAAGACTCGGCTTAGGGTTTAGGGTTTGGGGTTTGGGGTGTTTGGGGTTTAAGTTTAGGGATTAGGGCTCATCAAACTCAGCATTTAGGAACATCTTTGCTCAGACTTCAGGCTTTCAGGAGTTAAGGCACTGCTGAAAGTCCTGGCCCACCCTGATGTCGCATTTTGTCTCCTGTCCCGGCATCAACAAGGCGACTAGGTTCCTGAGTAGCCCCTTAAGAATAGGGTACCCTGTTTCCTACTATCTGGTTCTAATAAAGTAATAAGGGAGCCCAAAATGCAAAAGTGCAAACGGGTACTACTGGAATCTAAACCAGTCACTGTCCCTTCAAGAGAATTGCAGTACGTTGGTGGTTGCGACGAGCAACAAAACTTTCGGCCGTCAGGCCGGAGATCTGGACAACAACCGTATGCTGCAGGTAAAATAAAAGCTTGAAAAGTCGCACCGCAATACCATTCTATGACACGTTTATGCTTAGCCGCCTATCGTATGTTCATGTGTCATTTGTCTGTCTAGTCTAGCTCTTATCTCTTAGTGCCATATCTAAATATCAAGTGATCTACTCAATTCAGCTGTCTGTCATGTCGCTTGCTTGTGTATAAGTATGTGTGCATTACGGCATATGTTTATCTACCTACTTGTTCATTGCTCTATCTTCACTTGTGCTACCTTTGCGCAACGATCTGGTCATAGGGTTCGAAGTTCTGTCATCAGCCCTTCCCATCGGCCATCGCGGCCTGGCACAGGGTCTTCACCCGCTCGCCCTTCTGACCGATAAGGTGGGAGCCGCATTTTTCGGGCACAAGGACCTGGCGATGCTGTGGCGTTTCAGGGCTCGGGGATTGGTACTTGGGATCATGGGACTTAGTAAGTAAGGTTATAAGTCCCTTAATTGGGGGTTATAAGTATAGTTACCCTAATTATAACCCTGCTTACTAAGTCCCATGATCCTTTAAGTAGAGTTTAGTGTTTAGGGTTGTCCTGTTGTTCAGAGCTGTGGCCTCCTGCCTCGCGATTTCAACTATGTAAATACAGGCTGCAATGAATCATCGCACCGTCGGCACTGGTGATGATGACGACGAACTTGCTAGCCGAGATGACGAAGAGGATCTTCAGATTGCAACTTTCGGGCCTTCAAATCACGTCCTGATTCTCATAGTACATGTCACCCACTTTTGGATCTCAGCTGGAAATATGACGGCTGTGGACTTTGAAATCGGCTTGGAGCTGGACGTCCGGGTGTTCTTACAGGGTTGTACGAGGCTTTACGGGGTTTCGTAGGTTTTGTAAGGTTCTAGGATTTAGGGCTTAGGAGCTTTAGGCATTCAACCAAGCCAGCGTGCAGGGGTCAGACCTCGACGATGTAGCCCCGATCGCGGACAGGGGCATCGGCCTGAGCACGTCTGTTTCTGTTTTCCCCGAACCCCAACCCCCCAGGTACCTACTATATGGGGCTTTAGTACCCTATATAGTAGGTTCCTGGGGGGGTTAGGGGAAGCCTCAGAACACCCCGTGGGCGCGGAAGCATTGCACCAATCGCAAGGCACGTTCGGGGAGACTCCTTCACGCCTTACCGTGACCTGCATGTCCGTGCAAAACATATTTCTATAGTATGAGTTCATGCCTTTCTGCGTTGTTGTGTGCTGGCACATAGGTGCGTGTGCAGCTTCTGTTTCACTTGCGAGTTTGATCCTTCATGTCAATAGAACCTAAACCCGAAGTCCAGAGCCCTGAACCAGGATCTCCGACACCTTATCCTAAAGCTGCCCCCCGCCCTCCAAAAAAAGACCTGCCGAAACAAGCCCTAATCAAGTCCAGCCTTCTCCCCTGAGCGCTGAAAGGCGCGAACGTCCTGAAATGGCCCTTACCCCAAAGGGACCCTCCACACCCAACCATCAATAGCTCAGAAAGCCCAAGCCAGAAAAAGGCCCTCCCCAAACCCCAAACCCCTAAACCCCTAAATCCTAAACCCTAAACCCTAAACCCTAAACCCTAAACCCTAAACCCTAAACCCTAAACCCTGAGCCCAAAGAGACCCTTAAAGCAAGAGCCTAAGGAGGCCGAAAGCTCGAATCGGTGCATCCGGGCTCCTTGCTGTGTCCGGGAGACCAGAGCGGTCGAAGACCCGTTCTAAGACGCCAAGGATGGCCTGTTTTGGGTTTTTTGAGCACCTTTTTCCGTCCGCTAGATCACAAGCCTTAGGATGGTCTGGAATAGATTTCAGGGTTTGGGGTTTAGGGTTGAGGAAGTAGGGTTTAGGGCTGGGGGTTTTGAATGCTTTGTGTTAACACCCTTTGGGTTTTCGCGCTTAGGGCCTAGGGTTTAAGGCTGCGGGCTTCGGTTTCAGGGTTGGGGATTTAAGGTTTGTTTCAGGATTCCAGGGTTTTGTCTGGAACGGTGATTGTTGCTGTGCTGACTACCAGGCTCAGTGACATTGTGGTTTCGACGACTATGGTTGCAATTCTACTGGAGAAACGACCCTTACTATTGATGCTCGTGCGTGACTTCGTACTACTGTTGCTTTGCCTGCTGCTACTGCTACCCACTGCTTCCGCAACTGCTGCGCTTCCACCACCTTTGAAGGTTATCGAAATCGTCTGAACTGCTCTTGTGTGCAGGCAAATCCACTGAGACTGAAAAAGCTGCACGTAAGGCGCAGGCCCTAACCCTCAAGCTCCTCCCTTGCCCCCACCTCACGCACGGCCGTGGGCTCCCCTGAAATCGCCGCGACACGGTCCTCCCGCCGCTGCATCTCTTGGGGAAGTTCCTGACTCAGCGCTCGGGGTTCAAGTCTTGAGAGTTTTTGCAATTGATGTTCAGTGGCGTTGTCGGAGAGTTCAACCCAAAACCCTAAACTCTGCGAAGGTGGTGGATAGGTGTGGCGCGAGGCCTGATACCACGAGATGCCGCTTAAAGGCACTCAAAGCAGAAAATGCGGAGAGCCGGCGACTGCCAGAAACGATATGGGGTTCAAGGATTTGGGGTTTGAGTTCACGGTCGTCAAGGTTTACGCTTTAGGGATATTGGGTTTATGGTGCAGAGGTAGGCATCTCAGGATCTCAGGCATCTCGAAGTGTCTGTGGAGCGATCTGCTTCCCCAAAGCCCTTCTACCCCCTAAACCTTATGACCTAAAAGCATACTCCTTGTTCCAAGCTGAGCTGGTGATCCATGGCCCGAACCTTCTGTAGGATCTTGACCATCGCCCCACCTCAGAAGCATCCCGACATGACGCTCTGTGTGTGTGTGTGTGTG